TCATTATTTGTAACATTTTCTCTATTCCTGACAATTCCTGTTGTTCTGATGCCATGATTGTTGTTTCAAAAATGTCTTCTTGTTCTATATGTTCTTCTTGTTTTTTGTTTTCTTTGCTTTTGCTTCTCGTGATCGACATGTAGTTCAAATTTATCCCCGCCTGATATGAAACTCTTAAATTTGTGCAATAATATCCCCGCCAAATATGAAATTCGAGTAATGTTGCAAAGACGAAAAAATTTTTCTCTTATCCCAAATGCAATAAATTTAAATAAATGCAATAAAATTTAAAACTTTTGTCAATTGTAAAAATCAATCAAATATAATAAAATATATCATGCAAAACTTGTACCTAGAGAAATTTGAAATGTTATGTCATAAAATGCAGTTATTATAAACTTTGACCATCGGAAATAAATTCTCAATCAACCTGCTTTCTTTCCCTATCCTTTTAAATTCCAACTAGAAATACTTTCTAAGCTTCACACGTTTGGGCGACAGTTGTTATGATTTTGTATTTTTGATTTTAATTTATTTACTTGAAACAATCACAAAAATATACTTTCTCGTTATCAATGTCCTAAAAAATAAACTTCTGATATTTCTTATGTTCAGTGAGTTCAAAGTTTTCTAGTTGTATTTATCGGGATAGGAAAAACAAAGGATAATAATAAAAAGTATAATACATAAAATACAGATATTTTTTATTTTATAAAAAAAAACAATTATTAAATTTGCCGTTATCTTTTCAATCAGCGAATATGCATGTAATGAAATTAATACAAAAAGAAAATTTTAATTCTTATTTTCTTCTTGAGACAAAACAATTTGAAACTAATTTAAATTTGGATACCTTTATAAACTTTTATCTTCCTTATATTTAAAAAATCTATTTTATTATGGAAACAAAACTTTAAAACATTTGATAAACGTAAAAAGGTCTAATCATGCTTTAAACTGGTAATAACAATGAGGTAAACAAATCGCATTTAAGATTTACACACCTTTCAACTTGAAAAAGGAAAATATCTGACCTTTCTTCCCTGGATTGTTTTAGGACCACACAAAGAATTGTCCACCTTCCACAGCAATGTGTTCTTCCACCTTGCGCCTCGGCTTCTTGTTTCAGTATCTGCTCCTTCAGCCAATTTAACTGACTTAATTTAACCTCCTGACTCAATTCTCCAACACTTAACACACGAAAATCACTTCTTCAAACATTCATATAACTTCTTCGTGACCCAAGGATCTCTTTTCTCACCTGGTGCCACAACTATTTAACACGTATTCCAGAAACTGCACACTTTAGATTCAAGGATTTCTTTACATCGACTTGCAATCTACTTCTTCCACAATTCTGCTAACAAGACTGGTAACTTTATCCACTTAACAATGCCGGCCTCCAACTCACGAACACACCGCCTGTCGAGACGCAACCTTTCTTTTCGATCACTCAAACATCACTGTCTTCTCGAACCAACAAAAACTCTATCAACCCTCGGTCTGTCGATTTCCCCTTCCAAAAAGATCGTCTCATCACAAAATCCAAATTTGTTTACCACACTTGTTGGAATGCTAATTACCGTTTTCAAGCAAGGAACTTTAATCTTTTAACAATGGTCATTTCCTTGTAAACAAATAATTTTTATACATTTCAAAGATTTTTGCCTTAGTCATAATAGAAGATTTATACAACACAATACCGGACTAATCCTTCAGGTAACAGCTTATTTTCTATAATGTACAAATGGTTTGTCAATAACTCGTTTAGAATGGCTTAGTTCTTTATAAGTCATAAAATTTCGGTACTAATCTATCTATTTACAAATATACAAACTTTCTATCTTAAAATTAATACATATTTTGTCTTCAGATTTCTTAAAAACTTACTTCCGATGGATTCCTTAATTATTTTTGTTCCTTCCGCGTTTGTGGAAGAAGAAGTATAATAATATATATATATATATATATATATATATATATATATATATATATATATATATACATCTAAATCTATTTTTCTTATGGGACACCCTATATTTTATTGCATTTTCTAATCGTCGGCAAAAAATAAGGTATAGTTTCATAAGACTTCTCTATACCTATGTACAGAGGTATGTGGAATATTCTTAAAATGTAAAGCTTTAATCGAAGACTCATTCCTTTAAGAAATTCTACTCAAATTGGTTATACCTTTAAATAGCATTAATTATTAATGAATATTAATTATTAATGATTATGAATAATGTTAATTATTAAACATTAGGCCACCAGGCCTAACCAAATTGGTTTTTTTTTTAATGGGGATATATTAAATTAATGGGGATATATTAAAAATATTGTATATACTACACCTCCTACTACTATTGATGACATGAAATTAAGAATTACAAACGCGTTTGCTTCAATAACTCCTGCTATGTTAAATAATGTAACTAGAAAAAACAACCAAAATGAAATTCACCAACCGTTAAGACAGAATTGCCTTAGCGCACCTAGGCTGTTTTACTTCCAAACAAGCGACTGGAAATAAATCTATTTTATTCCTTATGTTGTTTGGGTTTCACTCAATGGTTTGGATTTGTTTATAAAGTATAGGTTATACTACTTTAGTAGATTAATAGCAGTGTTTTAAGTGATACTATTGTTTGCAGAAATTATATATTTTGTCAATATAATATTTGGATCATGTTTTTTGAGTCAGGTAAGTTATAATGATTGTTGGAAAAAAAGATAAAATAATAATCTATTACCTAGTTTAATACTTTTAAGTTATATTATTTTTAGTCAGATAGTGATCCATACGCTACAGATGGAGAATCTGATTTTATTCTGAGTGAATATGAAGAAGATAACGACAGCGATAATTCCATCATATCTAGGAAGCAACTACAAGCACACATGTGGCGTATAATACTTGAGTAGTAAAAGTATGTGTTTTAGCTTGTTAGTTTCAATTTAAGCATGATATCCCTAACAAAAATTAATTTATGATGTAAATATCAAACTTGTAGATACCAGTAAATTTAGTACCTATTACAGTATTTATGTACTTACAGAAATTTTGAAGTTAAGTTCAACTTGAGAGGTTAACATTTATGTCTTCTTTTCAGTAACTCCTAAAACTACCCGAAAAAGGAAGCGTAACATACATGCATGAAAGAGGAATAAAATCACAAATAAGAGGCTCGCTGGCCAAGAATATGAAAGCAGAGGAAAAATGAAGAGAAAGAAATGTGTCTAGGAGTATGTGAGTACGTGTAGGTACCAATGTAGAACATTTAACGAGGTTGAAAGACAAAGTCAGTTTACCAACCTGCAAACAGCTTTTTTAGCTTCATACATCAGAAAAACTGCACCTAAAAAAACTGGCTAATAGCAAAAAGAATTACAGTACAGAAATTGACCGCCGTGTATGCGGAGAGTTTTTTCTAAAAACTTTTGATATCAGCGATAGTCGCTTTAAGGTTATGTGTAAAAAAGTTGACAAAGACAATTTTGTGGAGCCTGATAAAAGAAGAAAAGATGTCCCAACCAACAAAGTATCAGATAACGCAAGAAAAACAGTAATTGAACATATCAGATGATTTCCACGTTATAGGAGTCATTACTCTTATAACCAAAATCCAAATACGAAATACATTTCGTTTGATTTAACTATTCGTAAAATGTATTGCCTCTCCAAAGATAATAATTGCACTGATAACGATGAACCCCCCAGTTGAGGAATTATATCACCGTCATATTTTCAATACTGAATTCAATTTAAAATTCCACCATCTTCATTTATACACTTGTAATAAATGCCATCGATTGGTAAACTTAATCTCATGATGAGACAAGTAAGTATCAAAAATGGAAAAATTTACAACAGCTGCTAGAGTTTATACCCCCATTTACCATCAATTTTATAATGATTTACCGCATGAGTCTGCGCACTGCTGTTAAGTCTTCCAAAGAAGATACCAACGACGAACAAGACGACTACATAGATTTTTCTCAGATTATGAGTAACTCTAGTGTTATAAAACAGTAAAATTTGTATTTTTTTTAAGAAAAAATAAATATTAACTGAAAATTAAGCTTTTGTTCTTTTTGTGTATTATAAAGCCATTTTTGCTTAAAGGTAAAACAACCTAAGTGCATTTTTTTGTAAAAAAAGGTTAAAAAAAATAAAAAAAATTGTCACCAGAAGTATCTTTAAAATTTTATACTTGTTTTGAATTGTTTAATACTTTAAAATTTTTAATTTTGAAACAAAGAATTTTTAAAGGTGCAAAAACGTTGATGCTCTATTTCTCAAAATGTGTATTTTGCTACTTGGAAGTTTTGCTTCTGACCCCTTCAATTATAAATATTTGATCAAATCGATTTCCGTTTAACAAAATTTTACATTACGGCAAAACTATCAGTCTTAGTTGTAGGACATCCGTATATCATTCGAAAGAGAAAAATTTTTTAATTTAATAATTCATTAATATACAGGGTGTTTTATTTAAAATAAGCATTATATTACACATTGAATAATCCAATAATGAAACTACAAATTTTGAACACCCTTTAAATAAATGTTTAATAATTAATCATGAAATACATTCGACCAATATCCAGCTATTTAGATGTATGAGTAATTATATTAGAATTGCTTAAATAAATTAAGAATAAGTCCTCGTTTAAAGTTTTACCTTTTAAGAAAATTCGACATAACTCAGAACACTCTGTACATAGGTATAGGAAAGTCTTATGAAACTATACCTTATTTTTTGCAGACAATTCGAAAATACAATACAGGGTGTTCCATAAGAAAAAATATAACTTTGAGACGCTGCGCTTTATTGTGACACCATTGTTCTTCCGATGACAGTATATGTCAGTGTATATTAGTTTTCTACATAATAGACCAACGAATTCAAAGTATTATTGAGTGTCCATCTTTGTAGAGATTGTTGAGATAGATACCTTGCAGATAGACCAGCTGTCATAAAATAGGAATTTATTACCTTTAGAATTTTCAAATATTGTTTCTAGCTTATTAAATGGTTTGATAGTCTTATCAGTGTAATGTTTCAAAATTTCTGTATCTTTATCATTACTTTCCTTTACACCGATATTTTTTATTTTGGTTTGTTCTATGTTTTCTTTATTACATTTCATTGTAGAATCGGTTACGTCAATTTTTAAATTCTCTAAAGATAACTCGTCAAGTGTCTGTTCATGTGATAGATAATTTTTAATACTCATTGTATCATCATCTTGGTTTTGGTTCAAAAGTTCTGATTTTTTTATAGTATAGTTATTTTTCCTGCTATAATCCATTTCTAGACTGCCTTCTACATTAATGTTTGTATTTTCAAATGATGTTGGACTTTTTTTGGAGATTTGAAATATTTCATTGTTCGGTTTCAAGAAATCATTTTCTGCTTTAATTAATTGGTTAAGTTCTGTATTATTCTCCGTATATTGGACCGGTATATTGTTCTAAAAGTAGAATATTGTTAGACACATATAAACAATCAATTTAGATTACACTTGCTTAGCAGGCATATATTATAGACCAGAGAAATTAGCCAATAAAAAGCCCTTTTCGTGACACTCTTTGATACAGTTATCTAACAACTGCTTCTGATAAATTTAGTGATAATAATGTATAATAAACAAAACATGTAAGATCGCTATTTGATTTTAAATATTAAAAAGTGACACAATTTTACTGAAAAGCATAGAAAATCCTTTAAAATCAGTGTTTCTAAGTTATTTTTGTTAATTTGTTGCTTAATTATTTCAAAAATAGTTTTAAAATATGATTTCTAAAAATGTACAAAAAACTTTAATATACTGATAGCAGGTGCAATATCATATGTATTCAGCTAAAAAAATTTCAAGAAGTTCCACTAAACGTTTATTGCAAAATTGAACTTGTTTATTCAAGAAAAAGCAACAAATTGAATAGAAAGCCTTATTAAATCATTTAATAATTAAATAAATTATGTTAAATATTGTAAAATAGGTTTAAAAAAGTAGTGTGATTTTAATCTTACAAACATTTAAAATAACTCAGACGCATCAACATATCGGAAGTTAATTTATTTAAAATGTCGGCATTTTTGCATGAACTTTAAAACAATATTCAATGTCCTTAGAACTTAAGTTAGTAGTGTTTTTCTTTATTTCCCGATTACTATGTCAACAACTGAATTCATAATTTCAAAATAAAAGTCGCAATATCCCTGGTTCTAATAAACGAAAATTGATGTTTTTTTTTTAATTTGAGGTATCTGGTTGCATATAATTATAAAAATTCAATTAGTTAATTTGTTAAGTGTTTATTTAACTGAGTAATTGGTTTAAATAATTTAAAATAAACATTTACTTTGCAAAATTTTACTTTCCCTTATTATTAGTAATAGAAAAGGTTATAAAAAAATAGGTAACTTAAATATTTATGTATTATAGTTATAAATAATATCCTTTAAAAATAAATTTTACAAAAAAATAAAGTTTTTATTTGAAAAACAAATCTATTATTATTTCATAACTTGTTGAAACATCTTACTCGGTTAAATACACAATTCACAAATTAACTAAATGTATTTTTACGATCTATGCCACGAGGTACCGTTCCCGTCATAAAAAACTGGTACAACTCTTATAACCGAAAATCGGTTTTTCAAGTTGTGTAAGTTGAGCTTGTCACATGTGTCATTCTAATTTCGAGGGCAACGATGCCAGTTCAACGAAAATATTATATCAAACCAGCTAAAAGCAGAGTTGTGCGACGGGTCGCAAGTTTTTAGTATACTAAAAACTAAAACAATATCGAGCATTCTCGATCAGTCAGTCACATTTATATTTATACATTTATTTAAAGATACATCTCAAACAATTCGATTAATTTTGAAATCTTCCATTCTCTCAGTACCCATACATTGATTCGTGTTTTATTATAATTTATAAAAATATTTCAATTAAAAAAAAAATGATAGATAATAAATCTAGACATGACTTTAAATTTATGTTTAATTTCAAATCGAGAGGTGTGATTGGTTTCTCGTAAAGTGTAGCACAAAACTGTATTGAGTTTGGAATACTACAGTAAATAAAACCCACTAGAAAAAATTAAAATTTAATTTGAAATTAATAAAAAATGAATAATTTTTACAGTGTACAAGTGTGGGATTTAAATATATGTATTACAATTCGAAAAGTTAATACTTTGTCATAGCTCCGTTATTATTAATCACTTCTTGTAATCTTCTGGGAACTGAGTTCATTAAATTTAGTGAGAAATTTTCATCTTCGGCCAAGCTTTCCCAGGTTTCTTCAATGATGGTCCATAAATGATCTCTGTTTTGGGGAACTACATTTAATTTTTGTATTTTGTTGATAATAAGTCCTCAAACATTCTCTATTGGATTAATATCTGGACTTTTAGTGGGCCATGGAAGAGCTTCAATGCTATTTTCCATAAGGTAATCCCGTACACGGTGGGCTGTGTGGATTGAACAGTTATCATGCTGGAAAATAAAATTCTTGTTGGGAAAAATTTCCCTAACCAATGACAACATCACATTATCTAATATATGTAAATAGGTTTCAGTATTAAATCGTCCTTCAATTCTCCAGCACATTCCTAAACCTCCTCTATACATCCAAGCCCAAACATTTATAGAGAACCGTCCGGACTTATATATAGTTTTCGTTAAACCTATTTCGAGGCGGTCTATAAACCCTAATATGGCCATCATAATGAGACTGGAATACTTTTTCATCAGTAAAAATTACACGGTCCCAAAAATTGACTGGATCATTTAAAACGTAATTTAAAGCAAATAGGAGTCTACTTTGTTTATGTTCCTCGCTAAATTTGTATTTTCGGGCGGCTGCACAATTTTTTAAATCTGTTCTTCTAATTCTCCTTAATGCTGTAATTATAGAAGCATTAAAGTTTGTATTAACTTTTGCTTGCCTTGCCGTATGGAAGGGATACCCTCTTAAATAATTAGTTAATGTTTCATCAGAGAACTACGAATGTACGTTCGTATGTTCTCTGGTTTCATCTTGTTGGGCTGTAGTAATAACTGATCTCCCACTCCCTCTCCTATCCAAAGTCTGCTCGTTTTCCCATCTTTTTTTAATGTTGTGGATTGTGGTTTTGCTTCTATTTAACTCTTGAGCCAGTTGTCGAATAGACCGACCATCTTCTATTTTTGAAATTATTCTCGTTTTATCAAACTGACTTAACTGAAGTGGCATCTTTAAAAATTTCTTGTGACAAACTTGTCAAATCTGACTGATGGCAAGCAATATTTTTTATGTTTAATTGTTCGGATATGTTTGGGACGTTTTCACGCACTAATAACATCTGAAGATATTAAACCAGCATTTTTCGCTTATAAGAGGATTTTTTACAGTTATAAGAGGATAATGTAATACTGCCACGTTTTGAAAAGCGTTTTTCGCCCCGGATATTTTATAGTTTATAATCTACGTAGGATAAAGTATAATGTTAGTTTTTCACATTTATCGTTCATGTAATAAATAATAAATAAATTTAGATAGTTTGCCTGTTACTAAACTGATTGGCATAAAATACAATTAACAGTTTGTGTCCTATCAGTAATTGGACATTAACTCAATCCTCTTTCTGGAAATTAAATTTATTAGATACGGTTTTTTGTTGTTAATAATAAAAATAATACCTATCTAAAAACTTTATACATGTTTAAACGTTATTTTTTACGTTTTACGTTTTATTTATATTTACTGAAATTCCGTTATCTGTAATGGCAACAACGAATTGATTCACGAACCATTGTGTCCAGTCTGAACACAGGTTTACGTTGGGAAAAAAAAGTGTACCAGTTTTATATGACGGGTAGTGCACCTCAAATGAAAAGAAAACATTAATTTTCTTTGATTAGAACAGGATATATTTCGACTTTTATAAATTTCAATTTATGAAAAAAGTTATTGAAATAGTAAAATCGTTTCCCTTTTAAACCCTTTATCTTTGGCGCATCACTTTGTACTTATAATTCTTCAAATGGTTCTATTTGAACTGCTTATTGCTTCAAACAAAGCCCGGTAAATTTTTGAAAAAAAAAGGGCCAACTCAAGTTTTAAGAGTCGTAGAATATTATGTTTTGGAATTCGTATAAATTGTCAAAATAACGAATTAAAAAAAATAACTTCCTAGATGTTAGTGCGTCTAAGTTATTCTAATTGTTTATAAGCTTAAAATTACAGTACTTTTTAAAACCTATTTTACAACATTTCACATAAATTTTTAATTCATTAAATGATTTAATTTGATAAAATAAGGTTTTGTCTTCAATTCGGTGCGTTTAGAATTTATGCAGGCCTAATCGAGTACGCATAATAACGTTGTAGGTAAAAGCTTTCGGGTATAAACAATTTCAATTTTGCACTAACTATTCGATTAATGAAACTTCTTGAAATTTTTTTGTGAATATTTGTGATATTGTCCAAGTCAAAAACGCCTTTTAATGCTATTTTTGCAATAACTAAACAAAAAATTAACAAAAAAACCTTTACAAACACTCATTTTAAAGGATTTTATATCCTTTTTCAGTAAAATTGTGTCACTTTTCCATATAATTTAGCGGTCTTCACCTCTAGTATTTAAAATGAAATAGCGATCTTACATTGTTTATATATTGTTTATAAGTAAAAAAGTAAGTTTAATCTTTTGCATATTTTGTTTATTATGTAGTGTTATCACTAAATTTATCAAAAGCAGCTGTTAGATACTTGTATCAAAATCCTTAGTTCGGTGTTATATAAGTTAAAAACAATTTTAACGACAAAAGAAAACTACATACAAATTTATAAAAATTCAAAGCAATGTTAATAAATAAAATTAAAATATAATAACGTGTTCCCAGTTTGATTGGGACATAGATCTCTTAATTGACATCAAAACTTACCATTGATTTCCTTTGTCTTTTAGCATTCTTAGTGGATTCAGTTTTTAAATCTGTGATTCCTGTGTCTGGAAGAGAACATCTTTTATTTATTTTAACGGTTTTTATTTTTTCATTATTTTCTTTGTTCTCATTATGTTCTTGATCCAGTAGGAAATTACGGACTGCTTTTTTGATATTCTTGACTTCCTTAATTTTAGTATCTTTTATTGGTGAACTATGATTTTCTTCTGATGTTTTATTAACATCGGAACACGACTTCCTTCTGAGATATCGCTTAGTGTCTGAGATCTTAGTTTTATCTTTTCTAGTTGCTAAATTTATTTTTTCAGTTTCTTCGACTTTATTTTCGGTCTAAAACATAACATATACTAATCTCCTTACATAACATATACTGTTAGGTAAGAGAATTATGAGTTATTTAAATCTTAGTAGCTTAGTGTAATCAAACATGTTTTTATTTTTATTTGTTCTGGATATTGTATTGTGATATATGTAAAAACATCTTGTTAAGTACAAATTAGTTTTAAAACTCATGACTACAAAATATGTAATTAAAGGTAATTACAGGAGGATATCGTCGTTGCGCGTGTAATAATCTGCCATGTGCACATTTATTGAATTTGCTTTTATTTGCTTTACTCGTATTTTTGTAAGGTATTAAATCGAAATTCAAATCTGTCATGTTAGTTCGGAAAAATTCTGACCTCGTAATATCAGCCATGTGATAATGCAGCACATGGCAGGAATTTTCTTGTAGTTGGCTGTTGTGCGTTTCACGTAACAGATCAACTAGTGTGAATAATTGTGACGTGTAGCAATATCATTTTGGTTTTATTGTGAATTAGCATTGTTTTGAAAAGCAAACTGTATACATTTCTATAACAAATATGTGTTTTCAACATTTTTTGCTTTGAGAATCAGATGAAAGTAAATAGCATCTAAAATAAATCAAAAATTTACTTTTCTGTTCACTTTTTGAATGAATATCTCAGCTAAATTATTTGATAGACTTAGTATAATGTGTCATAAATATTTATTTCAATTACTTTTTGCAAAAATTAAGCGGTATTAAGTTGTTATCAAGCAGTTCCGCCGAAAATATTAGTTTTGAATTTTTTTTATTCAGATAATGGATTCACGAGGCATGAAGATAATGTTAATGGGGCTAGAGGAATTTGGTACAAATAGTGAACTCACATCTAGTACTAACACTACTGATAATAATAAAAACAGTGAATCAGAAGGAACATCCATATTAGTGATTGATCATGAACTGCTTAGCATAATTGACAATGCTTTGATCTGTGAAAATAAAATAATTTTGATTAAAATACAATATGAAAAGTTCGAGAATAAAAATTATGATGATGTTGCTGAAATTGAATGTCCCGAAGATACACAAAACCGAAACATTGCCAGATCCAAAATGAGATTATTGAAAACAGCGACAAGGATTATAATGGAGAAGGAACGGAAGAAGAAAATTCCATTGAAAATAGTAACCAGTATGAGGTTGCTAACGTCAACAACCTGAATGAAACTGGAAGTCGCAATTCAAGAAAACGTAGTTGTTTAAGAAGAAGAACTAATAAACGCTTTGTTCAAAATTATCTTAGCTACCTTTTTATTTAAAACATTTTTTTCTTTAACGTACAGATTCTTGGTAAATCGATTTTTTCCGTTTCTCCCCCTCTCCGTGGGGGTTCTAGGGGAAAGCCCAGGGGTAAAAGTGATAACTTTTTTGCATCAGCATTAATTCAACTTGTTTGTGTGATTTTTAGGGGTTCAGTAACATTTTCGTCTCTGACAACTAGAGTATTAACAAAATAACCACAAACAAAAAAGTTAGTTTTAAAATAGTTATGAAAATAGTATATTTTGATTTTTTAAGTAGTACCTATATAAAATAGACATAATTTAATGTAAAACGAATCTGATACGCCTGTTCACGAAGCGTAAAATCTCTTATTGGTTAAAAGTAAAACTAGTAATGCCAATGTACATTTACACAAAATAAGCATAATAAGTCTATCCTAATATTGCGAAAAAAAATACAATCATGTATGTGGAGTCTCATAAGTAAATTTTATTTTTTTAATCTACTAGCTGACCCGGCGAACTTCGTACCACCTCAGAATTAAATAATGTGTTATACATGATTGTTAGTTTGAAAAAAAAAACAAATAAAATACTCAAACATGTGTATGAAAAAAGTTGAATCAATTTAATGCTTTCTGATAAACAATATTTTTATTTTTTTTGTGTTGCATAAATATACAACGATGGCGGCTTTCCAACGATGGCCGGTTTATCACCGAAAATTTCACATTTAGAATAAAGTTCTACACCAAACTGGCTTATACCATCTCTAGCTGATCCTTGTTTTGACGCTTTCCCGAAAGTTACCCTCCAAAGAATTATATATATATATATATATATTTATATTATGTATCTCTTTGCATATATATATATACATATATATATATATATATATATATTATATATATATATATATATATATATATATATATATATATATATATATATATATATATAAACTAGTTATACCTCTGTCTAATGCAATCTACTATGTTCTTAAACTTATCATGAGCATTGCGTCCATATAATGCATCCCACATAAATTGGTCGATGTATTCCGGTAGAAATGGAGAGCTCATCACTCCAAGTCGTCTTAGGTATTGTTTAAGACAAGACCAATACCCTTCTACTTGATTTGTATAGACCCCTGTTAGTGGATCTTTAAAAAATTTATTGTGATTCACAGTTTTGTGAATGTACCCTAAATTTTTTAAGTTGGAATATCCCTTCCACTGGTCTGTCTATATTTCACTACCTTCCCGGACGTGTTTTTTAATAATCTCCACTAATACCTCTCCTTTCCTACTTTCTAAATATGTTATGTACCCCCTTTTTAAAACTATATCGTACATTCCCAAAATCCATTGTTCTTTAATTAATCTACCACGGTTATATTTTCTTTTTGTTATAACACTTTCATCAATTTGAACTGTGTGTCCTTCTCCACCTGCAATAATAAGAATGTGAAAAGTAACTAAATGTTAATATTTTTTATTATTTTACCTTATAAAAATGGTTCTTATAACATCTCATAAACGATCTGTATAACAGATCGTTTTTCTAAATTCATTATTTCTGCGGCACTTTTAAACTGGCGTCTGACTTGCCCAAAACCAAATTACATAAAATAGAGTCCTGAGTGGTACTCCCAATCCTTCAAAAAATGTACCTGTACATACAGAATATATTTTTTTGCATTTACTGCACCAAAAACCATGGTTTAATTTAAACCCATTTTTCTGTCTCACTACACATAGACGTCGACATTGTCTAACTTTGCATTTAAAGTTCTTTTAAGTAATTCAATATTTTGCAAATATTGAATTAATTCAGTATCGCTTTTTTGTGTTATATTATTTATATCAATAATAGAATTCACTAGTTTTGATAATTTATAAATTTTATCCAGAAATATTTTGATTTGTTTAAATACATATCGTACTTATCATTTAAAATATTTTTCTACTCTCTTATTAGTAAATTGTATATTACCTACTATTTGGATGCTAAGTAAATGTATCATAACAGATACTGACACGTAATGACTAGCACGTAATAATAGTATATTACATAACGAGAGTTGTAAGAAGCTTATTACATGCGAGTAAAAAAGTTGCGCGCGAGCCGCGTAGCGGCGAGCGCAGTAATTTTACAAGCATGTAATAAGCTTACAACTCAAGTTGTGTACTATACTTTTTCTACCATTATTTTCGTTTATAAAAATAAAAATTAAATTACCACTATATTTACACTGACAGTTTAATAATTTTTAATCTGTCAAAATAACGTCTGTTAATTCGTTTCCATGGTAACTCGACCAACTGACTTACGAGGCTTATGTGATTTTTTACACATTTTATACACATTTTAAAATACACATTTTTATAAAACTGAAGCGTAATTTTTTTTATTACGTGCTAGTCATTACGTGTCAGTATCTGTTATGATGCATTTACTTAGCATCCAAATAGTAGGTAATATACAATTTACTAGTAAGAGAGTAGAAAAAAAGAATTACGCTTCAGTTTTATAAAAATGTGTAATATCACATAAGCCTCGTAAATCAGTTGGTCGAGTTACCATGGAAACGAATTAATAGACGTTATTTTGACAGAATATAAATTATTAATCTGTCAGTGTAAATATAGTGGTAATTTAATTTTTATTTTTATAAACGAAAATAATCGTAGAAGTATAGTACACAACTTGGGTTGTAAACTTATTACATGCTTGTAAAATTACTGCGCTCGCCGCTACGCGGCTCGCGCGCAACTTTTTTACTCGCATGTAATAAGCTTCTTACAACTCTCGTTATGTAATATACTATTAAAACTGGAACAAACCTTTAACAAAATTTATTATTTTGGTGAATATCAACCACTATTTCATTATAATCCAATGTTCTAATAAAAATTACTAAATATTATACACTAATATGATATAATTAAAAGGTTATTAGTAATATATGTTTGTTTTATAAAAATATGTCTCAAATTAGCGTGGATAATAAGTGCACTGTCACCAAGAATCACTCAATAAAATATAAAAATCGCACCACTGATCACAACAACGAACTGATAAATAATTTATTCACCCAACCACTTGCCGAAAGAAGATTGAAGAGGGTATGGCCAGGAACCTACCGAATAATACTTAGAGAACCGTCAACCTACATCACGTTAATTTACTTACAGACTATTTACTTATTACTCTGTGTATAGAGTAGATTGTAAACATGCAATGTAACAATAAAAAAATAATATTGCAAGTATAAAAATGAAAAAGGTGTGGAATATAGTGATAAGATAAGAAAAAAAGGGAAAACCATCATTAACAACTTTTAAAAAAGAGATGGAAACTTACCAATTTGTTATCATCACAATTATAAAACGCACTCATTCTTCTCGTGATTCTAGTTCCATCTGGGAAATCATTTTTAGGAGGGTTATGTTCATCAAAATGACCAATAGAAGCTCGTACAATGACGGCATTGTGTGTACTTTTTAATGGCGTAAAAAGTCCTGAATATCTTCGCTGCACTTTAGATGTTAATTCTGATTTTGAATCTTGATTTTCAAACAAAGTAGATGTGATTAAATCTCTTATTTTCACCTTACTTAAATCTTCATATTCTGTCATTTTTGACATACTAAATATTACGCGTCAGGTATATAATTCATATCACTTATGTCAAGTGTTTGATGGTAGTCAACATAAATAATGTAATAGTTCAACTTAAATATTACATCTACATTTGTTTTTAAATGAAGTTTATCTGTTTACTATTACTGCTAATATCGTAATGTTCCGATTAATTATTTCTTTTGTTCTCACAGACGACAGAGTAATTACTATGAGAAGCAAAAAATTAATCACATTTTTACAATTCTTGTGATAACTAAATGCTATAACTCTAAAAATTAGTCCGGTTAGTTTAGCTTTAAAATTAAACTATAGTTAATTTTAAAAGTTAGCTCAAAATATAAATACAATATTTTTTATCAACTATAATATAAAAAAAGCTAATTAGCAAAAAAATATTAAACTGCTCGTAAAAATTTAGATATTATATACTTAGGAAAAGTTTAAAAAATTCTTTATTTGTAAATATCAAATTAATATCAGTGCATCTGTTTTATATAAAAAATTTACAAACTTAAAAATTTAGAAAAAAGGAAGAACAATTAAAAGTGAAAAAAATCCTTCTAACACCCAAATCCATGCCCCGGAAACTTATATACATGACCTTGGATTATTCCATCACTTTGACCCATCGAGCAAAAAGACAAAAGAGGGAATGTAAAGGTAGTGGGAGCAAACATATTGTTAGACTGGAAGTGCGATCTTTAGAGGCCACATTAAACAAGGAAATAGAGTCTCTCTCCTTGTTTGACATCAAATTTAGTTGGGTTATGTTATTGTTTTCCCAAATGTCACATGAAATCTTATTTATATTGAAGTTTTTTAACAATTGTGTCGCATTTTAGACTATTATCATTAATAATTAATTAAAACTTTCTCGTCTAAGACACATTCTGAAAAATATTATATAGCTACTGTTGATAAGTGTCGGAAAATTTACATTTGGCGCATTCGCATTTCCGGATATGTTCGCCATCAGAGGCCACTTTTTTGGTCTCTTTTCATAAGGATTAGATTCCCTCTTTTGTCTTATTGCTCGATGGTTTGACCCCAGGCAGTTAATAAAGAGAAAGGACAGCCTATCTCTCTCACGAAGACTTTAACCAATCATTTATGAGAGACACCCGAGACACACTCTCGGGGCCATCGAGCAAAAAGATAAAAGAGGGAATCTAATCGTTATGAAAAGGAGACCACAAAAGTGGCCTCTGATGGCGAACATATCCGGAAATGCAAAGGCGCTAAATTTAAATTTTCCAGCACTTGTTAACAATAGCTGTAAAATATTTTTCAGACAAGAAAGTTTTAATGAAATATTAACGATAATAGTCTAAAAAGTGACACAATTGGTAAAAAACTTCAATATAAATAAAATTTCATGTGACAGTTGGGACAAACAATAACATAACCAAACTAAATTTGACTTCTTAAAAAAGGAAAGAGACTGTCTTTCCTTGTTTAAAGTGGCCTCTCAAGATAGCACTTCCTGTCTAACAATATTTTTGTCCCCACTACCTTTACATTCACTCTTTTATCTTTTTGCTCGATGCTCGGGGCACAGAATAATAAACAAACAGAATACCCACTCTCCACGGAAAATTAAGTACGCGCATCTCCTCCGCGCAGAAGTTCCGCCATGTTTTAGGAGGATTTTAAAGAAATTAGTGTTGTTTATGTGGTGTACATGGAAAAATTAACCAGGTTTATTTGACTTACGGCAATCATAGACATACTATACAATTATATTAACATTGTTAAATATAATAACATAAATATAATATAATTAAACATAAATATAAACAATTACATAACCACACAAATAATATGTCTGTGTCCTCCTAAAACATGGCGAGCGTGCTGAAAAACTTCAAAGGCGGCATCTGAGAGTGGTCCTTCTGATTGTTTATTATTCTGTGCTCGGGGTGTCAATAAAATAATCAAACGAAGCTTAATTCCACAATGTCAATTCTGTCAATAGTAATGACAGATCTTCCGTTTGGTTACAAGTTTTCAATTTTTTTTTATTATCTTTAACTTTCGTTTGCATTTATTCTTAGTAATTTTAATTTAAGTTGGTTACTTAGTTTTTAAAATCATGGAAAAAATACAAAAAGGATGATGATAGTAAGTTGTCAAATAGTAAGTAAGGAAGCAAACAATAATAGTATTTAACATTTGTTTCTAAAAATATGTGTAATAAATATTATGTAATTAATTTATAATTGTTTTTTCTTAAACAACAAATAAATATACGTATATCTAGAAAAAATTGTGCATTTTTTATATATCCTTTTATTTTTTAATAATATATGTGAGATTATTTCATCGGAAAATAGTAAGATATTTTTCAGTAAATTTTAATTAGTAACAAAATAGCCGCAAGAGGCGCTAAAAGGTATGTATATAAGGGGTGACCATGTCAATTTCCCGCCAAAAGATGATTAGTAATGACACCAGGCGCAAGGGATCCTAATAAACGAAATTTATACATTGAGTTGCTTATCTATTTCTAATATTATCTATATTATTTATCTATGACCCAAATCATTCTAAAAATCAAACAATATTTTTTTAATAGATAATATGTTCCGTTAGCTTTAATCACTGCTTGGCAACATTTTGGTTTTTATGCTAAAGGCGGGTTGACACGATCCAAAAATGCTTGGATTACAACTTGGACCAAGTAGACTTGTATAAATGTACTTGTACCAAGTTGCCACGGTTAAATGACATGGATGTCAAAAAACCATTGTAAAGATGAAGGAAGTGAGTGTGGAAGATGTTCTAGTGGTTACTGATATATTGATACATGAGCTTGAAATACAGAAAAAAGGAATAAAAAAGAAAAATTTGGACTCGTAAATTGGATACATAAACGTGAAGCGCTGGAAGCTTCACCCAACTTTCTAAGTGAAGTAGAAAATGAAGATAAAGGTCCATTTAAAAACCATTTAAGACTTACAACTGAACAATTTGAACAACTATTGCAAATGGTCTATCCAAACACTTAAAAAGTTCTATTTGATTTTTCAACACCGAACCCTATTTTAATTTTACAACACTACACAACTTTGATCCAAGAAAGTTGTCCAGCGGTCTACTTAACTTGGATATAACCTCTGTTACAACAGGTGATACGATCAAAGTAGTTTCCAAGTATTGCGCGTGCAACGTCCAAGCAGACTTTAATTAAATTCTTAAACACACATTTGACTGATCTGTATCCAAAGTTAATTCTGCAGGTACCTTAACTGCTGAAGATTACCAGGGTGAAATTCAGCATGCACAATTCAGTTGATATCAGAAGATCTCTTGTGAGAAATAAGAATAATTTGCATTTCTCGAGCATCACCTACAGTGAGACACTAGTGGGAATATACTAACTCCCTCGCTATACCTCACACTGTGCATATTTAGAGCTAAAAAGATCTGTGCCTATATTATAACATGAGCATAATGGGAATATACGTCAAATACACTATTTGGCAGCTCTCATGTCACTCCGTCTGTTGCTAGCTTCCAAATGGTTGAATATTTTGAAAACAATCTTAAATTGACACCTAGTGAAAGATCACTCTTTCTTGTTTTCTCAGAAAAAATCCAAATATCAATCCCACTAAGAAAGTTTTAAGACTTTATAATTCAATCCCTTTTCGTTAAGTCGTTGATTGAATAATCCAAAACTATTCAATCAACGGTTAAGTTTCTTAAGTTGAACTTTTTGAAGTTGAAGTTTTTAAATCCATGAAATGGTCGCCAATTTCAAAAGCCTATAGAATCGCAAAAAAATTGGAACATATTGAGTGACAAAAGAGATTCCAGATGATGTATTATTTGCTGTTCTGCACGAGTATGATGCTAATTAAATTAATTTTACAAAATGCCACTCGTCCCCGTCTTTGTTGATTAATTGACTAAAAAAGTATGAGTAGGTATTAATACCTCTGGTTAAGATTTATTGGCGCTCATTTAGCATTGCTATTTCGGAGCATTCCGTATTCTTTTTATTTCTAATCTGTAAACTGTTTTCTAATAGCCCAGTCTGATTATACAAAAATCATCGATTTTACGGCAAAATTTTTCGCAGATATCTGAAGCTTTTAAGACATAGGTGGGGTTACTAGATGACGAATAGATGAAAAGGTACTCATATTTTTACCTTACGTTTTTTTTTTAAACAATAATTTATGGTCACAATTTGATTTTTTATCAATAAGTTTTTTCCCTTATATTTTAAATGAACAATATCATTTTTTTATATCAAGAATATCTTTATTTTCCCGTTTTTTAAATTAAAATTGATAAATAATTTACGGAGATATTTGCAAAAAAGTAGTTTTTTTTGTACATCGAGGTACATCGAGTACATCGAGGAATTACCGTCTTTTAAATTTGTGCGAAATTTCCCCCCGATAGGTAAAATAGTTTAAATTTTATTTAATTTATTTATCCCTGAGGCTAAATATTTAAAGTCTTGAACTTGCTTTATTAATGATGCTAGACACATTTAGCAAATTTCATAGAATTTTTTAAGACTTAAACTATCTCAGAAGTTAAATGCATAAGGTAAGATGGGGCAAGTGCGAACGAAAAAATTCATAGTTAATATTCATTTAACTACAAAAATTGCCTCTTTCAAATTAAGATTTTTTTAAACTTCTGTCGTATAATTGTGATTATTAACCGACCAATTAAAACTATTTAGATAACAAAAATACATTACCTACCAAATTTGCCTATACATTTTTTTTCGCAAGTACTTGTTACGCACTTGCCCCACTGATCCGGGGTAAGAGCAGAATGTGCCATTATTTTGCTAATAACTAACTAATAACTTTTGCTAATAATTAACTTTAATAAAATATTAAGAAAAAAATGCTACGAAATATTTTTTAGAAGAGAGTCAAAACAATTTCAGATATTTTGACTGAAAAATATTTATTTAAAATAAAAACATAAACTAAACGTACCAGAATGAATAAATCCTGTTAGGTAACAAAAAATAATAATAATTGGCAAAAATACTTATGCTATGCTTCAAACACTTCAGGTGCAGTCTCAAAAATATACTTTTCGTAATCAGCAGTTATTGATATTTTTGGAACAGGTAGTTTTGTTTCTATGTCCGACAGTAGAATAGTGCAGACATCGTTGGGTTTTAAAATAAAATGGCACTTATTTGTGAGCCTTTTCAAGCCTGTTACTTCGGCTTCATCACCATTGATCAGTTGTTTCACCAAACAAACATATTTGAACATTTTCTTTTTTCCAGGAAAATTTACTAATACAAAATCCCAATTTGTATTTTGGTAAATGTAAGTTTGTCAGTAGGGTTTTTTTCATCAAACTCTTCCAAATCACTTTTGCTTAGCTCGTCAAATTCAACAATTCTGTTTTCGCTTGAATCACTGTATCAAGAACTATTATCATTTTCGGAACTGCTTTCAGCAATTTTTTTTTTGTAAATCTTTTTAATTTTTTTTTCTGGTTTATATTTTTTTATTGTAATTGAACTTAAAATTTTTTCAACATCGGCTCTTGTTATCACCTCTGCACCCAAGCACACGCGTTTTCTTTTCTTCGAATTAGAATTGTTTTCACGTTTGGTTGACCTCAATAACAACTCTTCGAATGAAACATCCAGAATCTTCTCAGTTTCTGGAAATGTTTGTATATCTGTCGAGCTGGAAGTTGACTGTGCTTCGACTGTGATTGGATTTTCATAATTTTTTGCTGATGTACTAGGCAAAGTTAAGTCAGGACCATCAAACCTAGCCACGTTACGGGTTTTTTTGCCAACGTTGGAGAGCCACTGGGTCAAATAAATCTTGCTGAATAATATTCCTATTCAGCGGAACTATTCCTGCTTTAATGAAACCACTCACTAATATTTCGGGCCTGGTTTCCTGCCATATTTCTCCTATCATCTTGGAAAACATACTTTTTGTTACAGCGGCCCCACATTTCTTCTCTTCCATTCAACAAGTTTAGCATCCCAACGGGTCTTCAGTGATTTAAATACACACAAATCTAAGGGCTGGAGTACATGACTGGTGTGAGGAGGGAGCTTAAGTATCGTAATATGGTTTTCAACAGCTATATTTATGACATCTGCTCCAAGATGACTCGCGTGTCCGTCGTAAATTACTAATACCGGTCGTTCTGAACCAATAAACTTTAAAAAACTGTTTTCAAAATAGTTTCTAAATACAGTTGTCTCCATCCACCCTTTAGGAGTGGCAGCGTAGGTAGTATCTAAAAACTCCGTGCCACGCGGAGCAGTCCACTGGTCCCAAACATGTTTACCTTTGAAGACAATAAGCGGAGGTGCTTTTTTGCCACTTGCGCTGCAGCACATAAGAACAGTTGTATTTTTTTTGCCAGGCCCACTAATAGTTCTTGTGGATGGAGCTCCCCTTTGTCCGACCATTTTTGTTTTTGACGGATCTGTGCAAAAACTGCTTTCATCCAAGTTCCAAATTTGCGACGGGCGTTCTTGTAAACCAAGTTCTTCTATAACGTTTTCAAGTAAATCAAAATAGTAGATCAGGAATGGGTCAAGGTTTTTTTTTCTAGCAAATTCAACACTCTTGGGTTTTTTAATAGAGAGGTTATGTCTACGCTTGAAATTAAGAAACCAATCTTCTCCTGGTTTACCATCTTTAAACTGTGTCTTAATGTTATTCTCTTTGACGAAGTCAGCTACAACCTGCAACACTTCTTTTCTAGAAAGGCCAAAACCCCATTTTTCCATAGTACGAAGGCCATTTGCTAGTTTTTCTTCTTCCTGTTGAGGAATGTCCTGAGTTCTTCCATAGCTGGAACTTTTTTGTCCTCTCCTACCTTTAAGGTGATCATGGAGAGTACTTCTTGGAATTGTGTACACTTTAGTAGCTCGGTATAAAGTCATTTGCCCAGATTTAATTGCCGACAGTGCAATTTTTAAACTCTCTTTCGTATATCCTTTGCCCCTGCTACTTCTGCGAATGTAATTTCTCACCATGGTGGAACTAAAAGTATAAAGAAAAACTGTGTGAGATTTGGGGGAAGTGCGTAATATGTGCCGCTCTTACTCCACAATTTTATCCGCACTAGCCCCGACTTTAAAAATACGTGGGGCAAGAGCGGTACAACAATAAAAACTGTCAAAAAGTAAATATTTAAAAAATATATTATGTTTATCATAAACTATTGTGCCTAAGATACTTACCTACCAAAAATAATATAAAGATGTTCACAGATTCGGTAGATATAAATGGATTAATTTTTATCAGTGACCTTGCTCGAGAAGTTTCAAAACACAAGTGACACTACCGTACCTATAACATCAGTGAAACGTAATAAAGCAGCTCGCTGTTGTTAAAGACTTGTCACGGGTATTAAAGATACCAAATAATAGATGGCAGCCCATATTTCAAAAGTGATAGGTTGTTATGATAATGTTCTGCACTTGCCCCGATAATGCACTTGCCCCATCTTAGCTTATTGCGTTTTCATCGAAATTATTTACAAAATAAACGTTTGAAAAAGGGGTATGTTTTTACTTAAAAACAATTGTAATAACTTCTATATTTTTCAAGCTACAGACTTGTACGTACAACCATCGGATAGCTAGTAAAAAAATTCACATTAGAAAACAAACATTCTATGACCAATAGGAACGAAGTTAGGAACTATTTTTAAAAAAATTCCATTGTTTATAAACATTAAGAAGTGAAATTTGCAAAAATGTTGAATGAAAATCTAAACTTTATATTGTTATAGCTATAAAATTCATTCAATTTTTGAAACTTACATTCCTTTTGTATAAGGTACTTTTGAAAGATCGACATAGGAAAGTGGAGGGGGTAACTGTTTCAGCACCGTTGTTTTGCGTTGCGTCAACAGAGATCGGAACTTCAAATTGAAACACGTAGAAAAAATGTACATTACCTCTACTTCCATTGCAGCTAGAAGTCTCTTTTTTTAATCTGAGGTAGCTCGTCGAAATATGAATAACTATATAGTTTTCATTGGCCGGGATGTATGGAAAACCTCGGAAAAATTGAGTCCATTTGAAATTCACCGTAAAAATTTATTTGTTTTAAATTTGGCTGGAATAGTCTGTCGCAGTATCAATAATGATGACATAATTTTTTTCAACATATATTTTTTTTTCATTTTATATAAATGATGTAACAATATTTATATATTTTATAAATTAAATTTCAGGTAATTTTTTAGACATTATATTATTATATTCCTTACATTAATTATAATTATTTACTACTTTGGCGATCTATATGTTTATATACGTGTATAGGTATATGTACAGTACGAGGTTGGTAAACACATTTATTTATGTTTTTAGATCTAAATATCTCCAAAGATCACAAAGTATACCGTCCTCGTGTCCCTACATTTTATATGTATTCATGTATTCATATTCTTGTATTTATATGTATTCATGTATTCATTTTATATGTATTCATGTGAATGGGGGAAAGGTCATTTATATATTAGAAAACCAGTAACATATCTTAGTATGCGTAAAAAAGGCGGGATGAGTAGGAGCTGCCACGCTTTCAAATTTCGTCAAAATATTCCCTAACTTCGTTCCTATTGGTCATAGAAGGTTTTTTTTAATGAGAGTTTTTTTTTACCAGTTATCCAATGGTTGTACGTACAAGTCTGTAGCTTGAAAAATATAGAAGTTATTACAATTGTTTAAAAGTAAAAAAAAACACCCCTTTTTCAAACGTTTATTTTGTAAATATGTAATTTCGATGAAAACGCAATATGCATTTAACTTCTGAGATAGTTTAAGTCTTAAATAATCCTATGAAATTTGCTAAATGTGTCTAACTCAGGGATAAATAAATGAAGCTACTTACTATTTGACCGATCGGGAGGAAATATCATCCGTAATATATCCGTAAATTATTTATCAATTCCCGTTAAAAACGGGAAAATAAAGATATTCTTGATATAAAAAAATGAAATAAATATTGTTAATGTGAAATATAAGGGAAAAAACTTAACAAAAAATCAAATTATGATCATTAATTATTGTTAAAAAAAAACGCTAGGTAAAAAAACGAGTATTTTTTCTTCTATTCGTCATCTAGTAACCCCTACCTATGCCTTAAAAGCTTTAGATAACTGCGAAAAATTTTTCGACCTTTTTTTTAACCAGACTGGGCTAATATCCATGCCCACGCTCCCGATAACGAGTCCTTTAATATAGGACTCGTTATTATACGATACTATTATAGTATCGTATTTGTGTTACGACCGGCCTATTAGTACGTTTTTTGCAGTTTCAAATTTAAGTAAAAAGCATGTTTTTCTTTAAATAGCTAATTTCAAATTGTGATTTTTGACAGAGAGTCGACGATATTATATTTATTTTTTGCTCATATTGAAATTTTAAAGATAAGTAATATATTTTTTGTTTTAGTTGAGGAGAAAAAGGAAAAAACACTGAAGTCCATTTTGGAAGCTAAACAAAAAATTAGAAACGAAATTTTGAATTTGAAGAACAAATTGAAGTTGGCGAAAGAAACAATTTCCTCTTTTAAAGAGGAAATAGCTAAATCTCAAGACAATCAATTTGTAATGTAGTATTAGTATAAAATTTGTATATGTAAATTTAATTATTTTAAATAAATATTTGTATGTCTTTCTTAAAAAAAAAAGAGAGTGTTTTATTCAATTTGAAATGATAGTAAAGTTTGTGTATTGTAGCGAGATTAAATAAAACGAGCGGTTCGAATTTATATACATATATTTATTTATAAGTTTCTTCTTCGCGTGTGATATCAGATTTATCCGACGTTGGCGATCACGATTACGAAGGCTTCTCGATCTTCTGCAATATGGAATAATTGTCCTGCATTTGGTATCTGAGTCCATTCACGAATGTTTTTTAACCAAGAAACAGTCTTTAGCAGTTTTCTGTCTTTGTTGCCTCTCCTTAGTACTTCTTCATTAGTTTTTCTTGCTGTCCAAGGTATTTTCAGCATTCGTCTATGAACCCACATTTTCAATGCTTCAATTTTGTTCATGATCGATACTTTTATCGTCCACACTTCTGCACTATACAAAAGTATAGACCAAACATAGCACTTAACCAACCTTATAATTTATAAGTTTACAGTTCGTTAATATCTTAAAAACTAAACTCACTCATAACATCGTTACATATATATACCAAAAGTATTATTCTAGAATTATCTAAAGTAGTCCCACTTCTAATTCGTTGTTTGACATGTGAATTTCTACAGCGCTCGATATATGACCGGAAAGTTCTCGGCGCTTCGAGATACAACCGTTACATGAGCCACACCGAATGCATATTCGTAACACCGCTCCCCTCTTAGATCTGAGCGTCCCGATCAGCAACTCTATATGTAGGCCCAGGATGGCGGAATCTGCAGAACTCTCCAGCTCTGTATGAACCCCTTAGAAAGAAATAACAGTCTACTGACTTTGAAGGATACGATTTTATCGGATTAATGCAACACGCAGTAATTCATACGCTGGTTTCTTGGAAGATCAGTTCAAGCATGCTTCTGACAATTTTCCAATCCAGATTATCTAGTGCATGGACTATCTTTGGTAGGGCCAAATTCTTGATGTCATAATTGCACACGATTTTCTTCAGATTAGTTAGAGCACGCCATATATCCTCGTAGCTTGCCTTGTCTGTATACGACTTCCTGGTCACCATATACACCATCGAGGATCATCTTCTAATCTCAGTACACTTCCAACTTTAGGCTGCTGATTTTTTAACTCGTCTAAACGACCGGACTTCTTATAAAATACGGATGAGATTTCTTTAGTCATCTCAAGATCTTGGGCAACACAGTGGGCTAGAGAGACGTTATGCGGAACACTAAAAAGATCCTGCTGAACTTCTGTCGTCACGCCGAATCTAGTACTTTTTCTCTCTGCATAATTTGTCATAAATTCAATACAGTTTGATCTCCGGTCATATTTGATCTCATGTTGAAGGGTTCGCGCTTCTTCTGTTTTATTTGAGCCAGCATAAGGTGCAAGACGCTTTATGTAAACTACTTTTGGTTTACCGTTCAGCAACTTCTTAATTCGGTATATTACGTCATTTATTCTCTTTTTAATTTCATACGGACCCTCCCATCGTCTTTGCCGTTTAGGAGACAAGCCACGACGACGTTGTGGATTATAAAGTGAAACAAGATCACCTACTTCATAGCATTCTTGCATCGAGAATCGTATTGATCTTTCATTCTGTTACTGGCTAACTGTATGTGTTGTTGGGCAAGTTCATGAATGTTGTTCATTCTTAACTTCAGGCGGTCGACATAATCTTCGCTTGCAACATGTTTTTCGAAAGGTCTGCAGCCAAACTCTAGGTTGCGTCGCAGGGCAAACGAACTTCACGACCTAACGTCAGGCAGGTTTGAGTCTGGCCTGTAGTTTCATTCACGGCCGAGCGGTATGCCATTAAGAATAAATGAATGTGCTGGCCCCAATCTCTTTTATGTTTTGATGTAACTTTGGACAGGTGTTTACCCATCGTTCGGTTCATCCTCTCGACCATTCCATCTGATTAAGGATGCAGGGGTGTCTGCATCGTTAATTTACAAACGTTTTGAAAAAGGTTTGACTCGAAGTTTCGCCCTTGGTCGAAGTGGATCTCCAAGGGAACCCCAAATCGGCTAAATATTTCTTTAACCAGTACCTCTGCAACGGTAGCAGCTTCTTGATTTGGTATCGCATAGGCCTCAGTCCATTTCCTAAAATAATCCATGGCTACCAAGATATATTTATTTCCATCATCCGTCTCTGGAAGTGGACCTGCAATATCGATAGCTACTCTTTCCATAGGACTACCAACATTGTACTGTTTCATGGGTGCCCTCTTTTTACCAACTGGACCATTACTGGTCGCATACAGTTCACATTTCCGGCACAATCTTCTTACATCATCTTTACAGTTCACCCAATAGAACCGTTCACGAACCTTTTGCAGAGTTTTCGTAATACCAAAGTATCCACCTGATGCACCGTCATGCAACTGACGCAATACTTCTGACACTTTACTTTTAGGTACCATCAACTGAATCTTAGTTTCCGTACCATCATCGTTCTCAAAGGTTCTATAAAGATCATCTTTCAGCACTAGGCAATTCCATTGGCTCCAGTAAAACTTGACTTCTGGATTACATGCAATAATGTCTTGCCAAGAAGGTCTTTTACTTCGACGCATCCAATCATGGACGTATGCATCCAATCCAATATTTTTTTTTGTACATGGATCATCTGCTTGAGCGTTTTGTAGCTGTTGAGGCTGCCATTGATCGTTAATGACGGTGGTTCGTCTCTCGGGGCAAAGTCGTTCTCCTAATCTAAGACAGTGATTACATTAATTACTATTTAACTGGGAATAAGCCACAATTAAAGATAAAAATACGTTTATTGACGTTTCAATTTCCACTTCGGAAATCGTTCTCAAAATACAAACCTACAATTTTACACCTGCAGTGATTACAATTTGCACTGCATCGCCGTCTTGACAGAGCATCAGAATTCGAATGGCTTTTTCCAGCCCCGTGTTCGATCTGTTCTAGCTTTCAGACTGTTGTATTATTTTCTTGCAATTTACGACGAATGTAACCTACGTCGCCACCATTCGAACATCTGGTTTCGCATCTCTTCGGTATCATGTTACGAACTACTTTCCGTACGATTTCCTCCAGACTTTTATCATTTTGTTCGTCGTTCTTTTCAGAGGTCCGTACTCGATAGCTCTGTGAAGCTCGACTACCTGTCTCGTGTTGGCAATTTAAATCGCATATGATGTGTCGTTTCGTCTCTAGGTGATTCTTCTTTCACTACCGGATCTAAGGCTACTGTATTAACTGGTGCTAGCACTTTTGTATTGGTTATCATGCTCTCTAACTGTTTGATCTTCTCTTCTACTTTATCAAATGTTTTAAAAATTTCCTCAAATTTCTCATTGTTCTGAATACATATTTTTTAATTATTTGTGAAGTCTCGTCGTTTTGTCTAGCTACTTCTTTAATAATTTGAGACGTTTCATCGAATCTTTTGGAAACGTTCTCGAATTTATCATAATTTTTTTTAGAAGATTCTTCAATTTTGTTAGAAGTTTCTTCAATCATTTGCGACACATTTTTTATTTTCGTTAAAACTGTTTCTTCCGCTGACTGGAACTGGAATGTCTCTGGGTCTTGTTGAGGACAGTCTTCAGTCATTCTTGGAATATCTTCTTGGACCCGCTGCAGTCTTTATCGCGTTCTTGTAGTTGCTCAAGCAATTGTTTTACTGAAAGTTCTACTAGCAGCATATTTGGCCAGGCACACACGTACCTACTTTTTTTTTATTTTCAACCGTACCAGTTTCTCGAAATTTCTTTTCAATCTTACTGTTGACTGCGTTATGGGTCTTTCTGAATATTTATCATTAAATAAATTACACACTTCCATCTGAGTTCGCGATTTGTCTCCATACCCAATCATCATGAGTATTTCAATTATTTTCTTGACATTCAAATTCATTTCTATTTCAAATTAATTCTAAGCAATAACACAGAACATTCACGAATTAATACAGTTATTGTACTTTTTAATTGTTATTGAACGTTACTAAAAATAATTACATTTCATTAAAAACTAGTAGTACCTAAACAGACACGTAGCTATTTCATTTTAGCCGCGGTTAGCGATAGCCTCGTGCCAAAAATTACAGTAACCACTCTTTTGTACTATCTGAAAAATTGTAAAGTTTATAAATTGTAAAACGGCATTTATAGTAGAAGCTTGAAACATGTCTACAAGGTGTAAGAAGGATCGCCTGCAAATCAAAACAAGCTACCAATACTTGAGAATCATCTTTTGCTCTTGTTACATCTTGTGCTTTTTCTTCTCTGCTTCTAATTTTATTATGGAAATGTCTATTATAAGTTTGATCAAAAGTAGCTTGCTGTTCAGCAGAACATTTTTTATATGATTCACAAACCGCGCACTGATCTTTTTTTGGCTAAAATAAAGTTATGTTAAAATTAGTTTTGAAAATATGCTCGTAAGTGTATTTTTTTAGCCTCAGGCCTTCCTTTACTCTCTTCCTGTAGTTTGTAGTAGCGATACATTTGTGCTAAAGTAAGTGAACCATCTATGTATTCCTTTGTAGTTTATGCTCTGAGATAATGTGATTCTACCCTTTGGAAAGAATTTATGTTCCAGTAACCGTTTCTCGTTTTATAAAATTTCCTCTCTTATCCTTTTCCACAGATCCTTTACTAGCTGATTTTCTCCAAGTTGTTCAATAAATTTGTCACCAATGTCCAAGGTATTCATGAAAACCTTTTTGCAGACTTTAACTTTTACACCGTGTATTGATAAAACATGCTAAATTTATACCGCGGTTACTCCCTTCAACCGTTCTTCTGTATTTAGTAACAAACTTTTCCAAATGGGAAGCAACAAATTGTCTTTGAAGAGCGTTGCCTTTCAAATTCCAGAAACGTGATCATATCTATCAGCATTGCTAAATTTTTGGCTGCATTTTGTAAGACATTTTTCTCCACATGCAGATTTTAAAGTCTTCTCACGTTTTTCTTTGTTGTCTTCTGTAATATAGGGTAGTCCAGAGTTAACTATCAGTTTCTTAATATTTCTTTTCCATTCACTTGGTTTCCGCAATTTTTTTCGAGAATTATGAATTTCAGTTACCGTACCTGTTATCTCAATGCGTACATTCCTGTTAACAAATTCAATATTCAATAATCTTTCATTATTTCGGTATCCGAATCTGCTACTTTATTTTTATTTCCATATTTATTCCCACTATCAGTGCTTGTATCACGAACAAGGAAGTTCTAGGAAAAATGAAGAAGGAACCAGAGATTGTGTTCACAATCAAACGCATAAAATTTCAATATCTGGGATACGTTATGAGAAATGAGCACCGTTACTCCCTGCTACAGTCTATATTGCAAGGTAAAGTCAAAGGTAAGCGATGACCCGGTAGAAGGAGAATATCATGGCTGCGGAATTTAAGAACATGGTTTAAGAAAACCTCAACGTAGCTGTTCCGAGCCGCAGCGAGCAAGGTTATGATTGCCAATATGATTTCCAACATCCGAAACGGATAGGAACCAGAAGAAGAAGATCAGTGCTTAAAGAAGTATCAGGTGAGTGTAGTGACTGTCTGCCACAGAGTCATCGGAATTGAAATTTCCCTCTTGATTTTGAAACTGAAACAAAAAGTTATGGTTAATTTGAAAAGTTGCCGTTGGATGTTAACATTATTTATTATTACAGACAGAGCGATATTTTCATACAACATACAAAATAAATCATCGTGTTTCTATTGATATTAGTTATCAAACTCAAACAAAAAATAAAATTTTGAAAAGTGTATTATTAGAAAATATACTTATGTAGCTTTTCTTGTTGTTTAAATGTATTTGCCGTATGATTTGATTGCACGGGTAACGCAACCGAAGTAAGCTAAAAAATTACATACATTAAGTAAAACCTCACTGTGATTTTTGTTGAAATACAAACCTACGTCAACACAAAGGGTATGACATTCATAACCTCAAAAAACCGTAAATTATCTCTCAGACTCTCATCATCTTTAATTTGCAAAGCTGGTCCAAGCATTTTTCTTGCCCTTGACATCGTGACAATTTTCTGTGGATCTTGGCCTGCTCTAAGATTCGTCGCCATTCTGTTCGGTTTTTGGATACATGTTGCCATCTTCTGATTTTTAATATTCGTAAGTCGGTTTCAACTCCATCTAACCAACTAATTCGCGGTCGGCCTTTGCTTCTTTTTTCTACAGGTGTTCCTGTGGTTAGCTTTTTAGCAATTGTATTTTCTGGCATTCGTATTATGTGTCCAGCCCATCTACGTTGCTGTGTTTTAATGAACATGACATCTGGCTCATCGAAGAGCTGATACAATTCAAAATTATATCTTCTGCGCCACTGCCCTTGGTCATTTACAGCTCCAAATATTTTGCGGAGTATTTTACGCTCAAATATTCCCAAAAGTCTTTCATCTTTCTGCGTTAGAGTCCATGTTTCTGCTCCATATGTGAGGACCGGCCTCAGCAATGTTTTGTATATAATAATTTTAGTTCTTTTTTGAATGTTTCTTGAGTGAAAATGCTTTTGGAGTCCATAGTATGCCCTATTTGTAAGATTTATTCGTCTTTTTATTTCTTCGCTTGTTTTATTGGTAGCAGTCAATAGCGACCCAAGGTATGTGAAGTTGTCAACACGTCCAAAGGTATGGCTTCCAAAGACTGTTTCTCGTTCCTCATTTGCTAGGTTTGCCGGTTGTATTGTGGCGGAGTGTATTATCGCCACACCTCATAGTTACGGCCATATTGCATTTCAAAACCCTACAGTGTAATACCGAAGTATCTTACTTTATACTTATCCAAGAGAATATATCAGTTAAGGCTGTAATTGCATTAGATGGGGTATTATATAGGCAACCTTTTTAAAGCCTTAACCCAAAATTAGAATTTTTTGTAGTTGTGGCACTATTGAACTAGATGTACGATATATATATTTATTTCAATTTGGGGTAGCTCGTTGCAGATTATAAAAATTCAATTAGTTTATTAGTAAATTGTTTATTGAATCGTGTAATTTGTTTAAACAATTTATTTTTTAACAATTTTCTCTTATTATTACTAATAAACAAAATATTATGAAAAGAGAAGTATAATATCTTAAATATTTATACAGGGTGTCCAGAAACTCTCCTGACAAACGAAGACCGTATATTCCTCAGATCATTTTCAGACAATTTAACCCAATTCAACTAGTCCGAAAATGCTTCCTAAGGGAGCTAGGGCTCTTTGAAGATGACATATTGTAATTAGTTTTTTTAGTACCTCCAGAACGCTTCTAGTTGGAAACACAAAAACTGGTACGATTATTTATCATCCAGAGTTGAATCGATTTCATCAATTGCGAATTTGGAGTACCAGTCATAGGCGTCCGTTTTGGGTAGATCAATGGTTATTTTACCGCATAACTTTTTTGTCTTTAATTTTTAAAAGAAAAGTAGTGAAAAGTAAAAATGAGATGTGAGATCGAAGATGTGCAAAAGTGGATATGTATATGGGTGGAACTAGAGTTGGGCAAGCTTGGAAGGTGATAAAGTCTCTCCGGAGGGAAAGAAAGGAAAAAATCTCAACAGTACTCAACTGTACAGTTGTTATCAACAGGTCCTCGAAGACACTTCGTCTTAAGACCATTTTACCTATGTAGGGTCATACGTCGCCATGTTACCAATTCCAACGGTAACTTAAACATCATAATTTGTAACCACATATAATGTAAAGCAACTGTAAATTAATATCATTTAAAGGGTTTTGACCCATATATTTTGGTGGCTCATAACATGTATACCTCGTTTACACTTATGATGGATTTAACAATCTGAAAACGTTTTATAACATATTTGTGATAGCCCGTTTGGGCATTTTATTATATACCTTTTATAAAGGATTTGAGATAATTTTTTGTGATATATGGTATACAGCCAGCTACAGGAACTTAGTTTCCTAGTGGATTTTTAATTATAATAAAGATAATTTAAAAAAGTACTTACAAACTAATTCTTTGAGAACCGTGGTGATAAACCCTTTACTTTTTATAACCTTTTCCACTAATAATAAGGAAAAAGTAAAATTTTGCAAAATAAACATTTATTTTAAATTGTTTAAACAAATTACTCGGGTAAATAAACAATTCACAAATTAACTAAATGCATCTATAATTTATGCCACGAGGTATACCTAAGTTAAAAAAATATCAATTTTCGTTGATTAAAATCCGACTAGGACTTAGAAATTTGTATTTATGAATTCAGTTTTTGAAATAGTAAAATCGTTTGGTTACTCCAGACATTGCCCTTCATAACATTGTGATGGTTTCAAAAATTCACTAATTAACGCTCAAAATCATTAATTTTGGTCTCTACAGTTTCGACTTTCATTAGTTCAGCTATAATTGAGGAAAATATGCATTTATGGATAACAATCCGCAAAATTCAGAGATCACAGGCACTTTTAAAATTGAATTGTCATAGGAAAAGATTTTTCTTCATTTGAGGAAAAACCACTAATTCTCATAAATAAAAGATCAATTATTGGTTCATTCCTTGTCCAAGTGGTGCGATAACGCATCATCAAAATTATTGGTGAATTTGTTTTTTATATAAAAAACAAACAAAATGCAACGTTTGTGTTGGCGTAATGTATTACCCGTAGAACCGTAATGTATTATATTCTTAACATACATCATGCATCTCTGTTCATGTCGAGAAGGCAACATGAATTTTAAAAGATAAACAACATTTTTCTACTCTCTTACTAGTAAATTGTATATTACCTACTATTTGGATGCTAAGTAAATGCATCATAACATATACTGATACGTAATGACTAGCACGTAATAAAAAAAATTACGCTTCAGTTTTAGAAAAATGTGTAATATCACATAAGCCTCGTAAGTCAGTTGGTCGAGTTACCATGGAAACGAATTAACAGACGTTATTTTGACAGATTAAAAATTATTAATCTGTCAGTGTAAATAAAGTGGTAATTTAATTTTTATTTTTATAAACGAAAATAATCGTAGAAAAAGTATAGTACACAACTTGAGTTGTAAGCTTATTACATGCTTGTAAAATTACTGCGCTCGCCGCTACGCGGCTCGCGCGCAGCTTTTTTACTCGCATGTAATAAGCTTCTTACAACTCTCGTTATGTAATATACTATTCTGACATGTGATTCGACACCTAGAAAATAAAAACACATTGTTACTTAAAATTGTTTAATTTCTAATAAAATTTAAATAAATCAAAATATTTATACATATGGAAAAATTGTAATACATAATCATTAACGTAGTATTAAAGCTTAACCTACAGTTGAAGTTATAAGCTCAGCAACGTCTGGATCTGGCGACCTGACAGTTAGTTGCATCGTAACACATTCGCCCAAAGCTAGTTTTGCTCTTACTAGTATGTCAATGCCGCCCCTGAATACACCTAAAAACAAAAAAATACAAATAAAAAATATGACCATTTTCAGGAAGAATTAAAATAAGATGAAAAGTTGAGATGTATGAATATTGGAAATGATTAGTTGGCTGCTATCCAGTTCACATTATCCTCAAGATTGAAACTTCGAAGATAGAAGTTTCTTACATAATCAGTTATGCTCAATCTGCTCAATGTCAAGCACAATTGTTGTAGGATGTTGTTTCTATCAATATTAGACTGATAAATTCCCGTGTCTTAAAAGTATGTTGCTTCTAGGTAGTTTCGTATAATAGACCTCATAACTTCTTATTATTATATTGTTATCGGGTATTTAGCACCAGTTTCTTATATCTCTGAACCATGAGAGTCATTTGCGACTTGGCCCTCTCTGACCTTCAATTTTGATAACTGAAGTGGTTATTAACATATTATATTTGTCGCCTCTTAAAATATGGCCTTAATATGAGACCTTTACTTATTTAAGGATATTTAAAAGCTTCTTTGGGTAAGGTCTTCGGCCTTCTTAAAACCTCTTCATTTGTTAATATGAATAATAAATTGTGCATGCATATGCATATGAGCTTGGCTGCTAATTATCATCAATTTCGTTTTTGTGATGTTAATGTTAAGATCATACTCCTCTCCCACTGTATTAATATTATTTATAAACTCTTTTATACAACAATGAATCGGAGGCTTGGGGCTCTTTCGGTTAGTTTGAGTCGGTATTTAAGTTTTCGGTGTGTCGGACTTTGTGATCTTTGACTGAGCCTAGAGTGCCTTGTATCGTCGACTTATTCCTCTATGCAATTTTTTTCTATTATTAATTAAATTCGATCCTCTTAGTATCGCCACATTTGAACAGCCTACAGCCCTTCTTCGATCTGGTCTTTCATAAAATACATTGTTAATAAGTGGTCTGCCACAACTCCGTATTACATTCACTGTCCACCTTAGTGTATTGATCTTTATGTATTTCACTCGATTTTCTTTTCCAAAGAGTATATACTTGGTTATTGTATCGGCACCTCTCTTCGTTTGTCATGATATCTCTGCAAGCGCCATATATAACTCGAAGGATTTTGCATTCCCATACCAGTAATTAATATTTTTTCTTAGTGTCCATGTTTTGCTTCCTTGTGACTGTTGGTCATATTATGGTCTTGTATATCTTAATTTTAGTCAGAGAAGTTTTGAAATGATTATATGGTGAATTACAAAAAAGATCTATTTTTCGACATTCTTCGCATTTTAATTTCTCGTTCTACTTTGTTATCGCTGGTGATTGTCGCTCCTAGGTGTCTGAATACTTTTGCTCTGAATTGATGGCAATTTATAGTAATATTTTGTCTTATTCGCTCTCGTTCCGGTTTTGAAACGACCATGTATTTTGTATTATATTCATTTATATTTAGATATCTATTATAGATATCTACATTATCAGCAAATGCGAAAACAATCTTTGTTCCTTGAGCAGCGATAAAATATTGATACAGGAAAATAAAAAATATTAGGTTCTATTTAAAATAATAAAGTTGACTTCTATTTCCAGTATATTCGGGAGTGCTACATTTAGGACAACATTATATATCACCTCAGCGTGATTCAAAACCTACAGTTTCGTAATTTCAGATTTTTAACATAACTGTATCTGCCATTCCTGTTAATAAAAACTTGTCGCGCCACACACTGCATATAGTCTACATATAGTAGTAATCTTCCTGTATTATTGATTTATTAAAAAAACAGGTTTTCTATTATTGTAGCACATTAATGGTATGATACATGAATTCCTTCGTCAGTGCTAACAGAGATATAAAACAGAAAAGTATATCTTACCAGCTAGAAGTAATGTGTGCGTAGATTTGCCCTCCGGTACTCTGTCAGTCCTTTCCGCAGGTTGTAATCCCAAGAACTGAATAATATTCTTAACAGCGCCACTTAGCGTATTGATGGTCAATGAGTATGTATCTTCTTTTTCTACATACGTAGCTGCAGCTTCTTCCCAAGCTGCAGCCCAATTTACTTTGCTTACTTTTTGGATTTGGTCCCCTAATGTTATTTCGATGTCTTCCAGCGTATATTCATCATCGTAACCTACGAAAAATATGGAAATAAGTAATTTGGGTATTTATTATAAATAGGTATTAAATTAGTTTTTCATTATAGAATAATACATAAATAAAAAAATCACAAATATCCATTTTATTCTATTCTTTGTTTCAAGTTAAGAAAATAACATTACGCTTATGGAGATCAGTGTTGCCAAAACTCTCAGACACTCTCTTTTGCACGGATGTCCAAGATATTCCCTTTGCTTAATTTTTGAATTTTCATTTTCAATTAACATTTAACTGTAAAGTCAGAATAACTACTAAATAAAAGCCTTAGTATCATTATGTAATAGTCAGAGAACGACATAAAATAGCTGACATACGCACATCGTATTATTTTAAGTTGCAATTAGTAATTAGATATATACGCAGTCCAAGCGGTCAATATTTTCTACTGATTTATATGATTCATGGCATATCGTATTCTCACCGAAAAACAAATTAAATGTCGTTACTATAATTAAAATAAGATAAAATAAAATTATCTTTTGTAAATACTATTTATCTAATTAAAATCATTTTCCCTACTTTTCATCTCTTGTTTCGAATGGGCACTTTTGGTCAATTACGTTAAAAAACATTAATTTAATTCATGTTTTTGGAAATGAAAATACAAATAATACAACCCTAAATTGTGCTTGTGTGTGTCGTGCCAACGCCGCGTTGCTATCGTCCATAAGAAATACATGGCCCTATCTCAGCAATGTTATTTTCTAAACGTGGAACGTAGTATAGTAGATTTAAATATTGCAATATCTACACTATTACAGACATATACAGTACTCGTATTTAAATCAAGTCAATCAATTAGAATCAATCAAGACATGCATGAGACAAGCATTGAATGACATAGGCCTGGATGGACGGGGGTATTCGGATAATAGTCGGTTTGTACTGGAGTCGGATAGCTGACGGTAGAATAGATAGAGGTGTGTGTGCTCTCTCCGATTTTGTTTAGTTTATATGCAGAAAATATTTTAGGAGAAGCTGTGGAAGACAGAAGAAGAGGTATAATTGCTAACGGAATCAATAACTTAAGATATGCCGATGACACAGTTTGCTAAACAGATAAATATGATTGACAGATACTTCTAATCAGCTGTAACAGACCATAGTAAACAAATGAGTTTGAAAGTTAATGAAAAGAAAACCAAATGGATAGTCATCAGCAAAAAACAACAATATAGCTAACAATCTAACTGATATCAGTATAGATGGAGAAATAGTGGAGAGAGTACAATCATACAAATATTTGGGCTATTGGGTAAATTAAAAATGGGACTTATCTCAGGAAATCAAAAGCAGAATCATGCATTCCAGAACATATTTTAAAAGTCTAAATAAGAATAATCAAAACGATCTAAAATATCTGCCAGAATAACACAATAAAAGTAAAAGTAGAGGAAGAACTAACTGAACCAACTGAAGCAGGCAACTGAAAACAATAGAGGGTCTGTTCAATCATCATGGATGTCATTATAAAAAAAGTCAACGTAAGAAATACAACGTAAAATAATCTGTAGTAATTGTCTTAAATGAGCCCTTTTATACATCAAAGCCGGTGAGCCGTTCGGTGCCAGTGTCGCGGTGTTCACAAATTCTGTCTCCCAGAATTAGAGAATTTTTATAAGTACATTTAGTTAAATCGGTGCAACGTGTTTATTGTCGCTGATGCTTCGATATGAACTTATTTTGCTGGTCCACAAACGTTTGTCATTTCGTGAAGGTGTGTGTTGTTGCCTTGATCTACCTCGATGGTGAACTTTTTATCGACAAAATCTTTCTGGTATTCATCATCAGATTGTAGTGTCCCTCAAAGTGAAGATGATTTACAACATATACTGCACCAAATTAATATAAGCACCAAAAAATTTAGCATGATAATTTCCCCAAAAATAAAGACAAAATGCGTGGTTATAACAGCAAATCTATTAATATGTAAATTGGAGCTAGAGAGTCAGATAATAGAACAAATGATGGAGATTAAACATCTAAGCATCACACTGTCTAGCTATGGAAAGCTTAAAACAGAAGTGTAAGATCAATTGAATAGAACAAACAGAAACGCAGGATGCCTGAATGAAACAATATTGAGAAATAAAAATATCGGGAAAGAAATGAAAGGAATGATTTCACAATACAGTCCTCAGACCTTTAATGACATACGTTGCAGAAACACGACAAAGAATAAAAATAATCCTAAAAGCGGCAGAGATGAACACCCTTAGAAAAATCGATGGTAAGACATTATTGGACAGAAATAGAAGTACAATCTACAACGGAGATCCAAGGTAGAGAATGTTAGTTTGTTAATATTTCGTATATTAGACAATATTATTAAACTTATATAACAGAGAACATCAAGGAGTGGGTAAGCAATAAAAGAGTAGAATGGAATGTTCATAAAGTCGAATGACAACAAATAAAGTAGTAAAGATGGCGAGAGACGGTTCCCCAATAGGAAAGCGGTCAGTGGGAAGACCACGAAAACGATGGAACAACAACTTATTGGAGGCACATTGAAAACAAGAGAGAGAGTAGTCAACATAAAAAAGAAGAAACAATTTAGCAAGTCCAAAGTTTAAAGAAAGTTGATGGGAAGTTCGCAAAAAGGTACCTAGACACTTGCTTGTTCAATTAAAACTCAGCTTTGGCCAGGTTAGCCTTGGAAACAATTTTAACCCCTTAACGGCCGGTTTCACAAAGTAAAGTTACCTTGCGGTTAAGAGATAACCAGCGGTTACCATAAAATATAGGTTTCACAATATAAGGTCAACAGCTCGGGTTGTGGTTAACCTACAAAATTTTTAACCCAAAGTAAAAGCGGTGGTTTAGAGCTTGACCAGGATATCCTAACCTAATTTCGAATTTCGTTTTGTTGACATTGGCAGAGTGTAGACAGACACATCAATCATTAATTAATCAGATATGGATTTATATGATGTAAATGTTTTTAGCAGTGATAAGGAAGCTGGAAGACCAAGAATCATTAGGCACAGAACAAATCATTTTGAAGAACTAGATCATGAAGGTTTAGATTTTCAAGGAACACAGTTAAAAATATTTTGAAGCAAATTAAATATACAATTTCTAAATTTTTTATTTCATGTATAAGGAAATAAGTAATTATTCCTCTTCTGGCGAAAAGTTTGCCGATCTCTTGAATATTTTTCTTGGTTTATTTTATAATTTTAATTTTAACTTGAAAGAACAAACAACGACTACTTAGAACAAACTACCACACTAAAACAGAACTTGAAAATGAGAATAATATTCGTATATTGTTTTCGATCTAACATGACAAATGTGTCATAACTCATCTATACTGGTCAATGTCCATAATATTTACTGACAATATTCCATAAACATCTGATTGTTGTCCATAATTTCCTACCAACATAAGAAAAATAAAACGAAACCTAAGGTTAAGTGACCATAACCGAATCTGTGAATGTGAAACGGCATCTGTCAGTTAAACTAGAGGTAAAGGTTACTTAACTCCTAGGGTTAACCTCTGATTGTGAAACCGGCCGTAACTGACGTTATGCAGTGTAAGCTATATTTTTAAACGTCACACTGATCAGTTCCTATCATTTGTATTTGACTGCGGTTTTATGCAATTCTGCGGTCATGCAATTTTTTTCTACTGAAGGTATGCAACCATTGCAAATTCATACGCGAATACAAGCAGTGTATGGAAACGCATGTTTTGCGTATTAAACTGTCAAGAAATTGTGTCGAAACTTGAGTGGAAGAGAGGAGATGAGTGATAAGCTGCAACCAGGTAGGTACTTTGAGTACTATATCAACACACAGGAATGTGACACGTGTGAAAGGCTTGATTAAAAAAAAAATCGTCGAATTTCAATGAAATCATTTTCAGAAAACATAGAAGTAAATATAGGACAGGGGTCACCAAATGGCGGACCGCGGTCCGCATCCGGACCGTAAGCTTGTTTTTTGCGGACACCCGTTAAATTCAAAATATAGTAATAAAATTATAGTGTAAAATTATAATCAAATCTAAAAATATAAATATCTTTACATTTTTAAAAATGCACAGTATTAATACTGTAGAGAAATACTCGTAATACTCGTCAACCATATTTTTGACGATAGCGAGTCACTAGTTCTCAAGCGGAAAGCACTTTTTGGGAGACTATCAAGTTAATTCACAAACATATAGTGCCCACCCACTAGTCATGTACAAGCTGGATATAGAGTTCCAGAGTTTTGGAATGGGGTATTACGAATATCTGGAAGATAAACAATAAGCCAATTGGCTGCAGTACGATCTGTTTATAACAGACGACTTCCAGAAAAAAAGATAAAACTAAAAACCGAAGTATCTACCAATTAACATTAATTTGATTTATTTACTCACCCTCGTCAGAATCTGGTATTCCAGTTGATGGATCACAATCTTTCACTAAGAACTTCAGCACCGCCCCACACGTACCAACAGAGTTTGGAAGATCATCATCGGGCAACTTAACTACTACATATGTGGTACCAGTTTCGTTATAGTGCAACTTTTCACAAGGTATTTCTGCCAAAACTTCGAAGGTTTCACCGGCGTCTATTTCCACCTAAATACAAAAAAAAAACAGCTACAATGTACAGTCAATATAGACAGACCAAATATTTTAAATATATATTTAAATGATTCTTCGTTTTTATCATCCATGTGCATGTTTGTCAAAAAAGTAAAAATAATAATATTGTCATAAAGTATATTATTTACAGATAAGAAACTTATAACCTCAGAAACCTTTTCTGGATGGTGCTAGAAAGGTCACCAATGGAGATACTGCGGACGGCAGCCAGATGGTTGGTGGAGAGCAAGTCGGGGTTCGAAACTAGCTTTTGGAACCGGGAATGGGTCCAACGGACGAGATAAGTAAAGATAGGACAGGATAAGATATATTAGAAAAGATACAAAAATAAACAAAATATAGATGCGTAAAGTTAAAATAGATAAGATAAGACATAAAAAGGGTATTATATATAATCTAATATGGTATTAGATTAAGAAACTCAAATATTAAAGTGTATACACACTTAAAGAAAAAAAGAAAGGTAAGAAAGCAAGCGTCTTTACTCAAAGACTGCCTTGCCAGAAATAATATTCTTCCTTTCAAAATTTCACACAGGCCAGGCTGTATCCATTTCTGGGAAGATAAAAAGGTCCTAACGAACATCGAAAATAACGGTACCCTTCTAGTTAGGAACGTGCGGAAATATAAAATCTTTTGAATTAGGTTTTTATAGAAAAATACTATAAAATACTTTTACGACGATGTTTACCAAAGTATCAAACAGAACCCACCTGGAACCGGAAAGGATTAACCAAACCGGCGTTTTTTGATAAATAGGACCTTACGTACTCTGAGAATTCCGTGATAAAATTTTCTATTGGTAAATAAGACGACCCGCGTATATATTTGCAAATACTGTCATGGGCGTCTCAGCAACTGGGGTAAAGGGATTAAAAATTATTTAATATTTTAATTGTAAAAAAAAATGTTAAAAACTACACTTCTATAAGTGATTATATGATTCTAAAATGTTAAGGTGCAATATCCAAGTGATCACTTACAGTAAAACCTCCCTTAACCGAAACAGTTTTAATCCAAACATCGTTTAACCGAAACGGCTGACAGTTTCAATAATTTCGTCAATAAAAAGTAAATTTTTATCGCAAAATGTAAATTCTATTAATTTCACCTATGATGCTTATGTGTATTATATAGAAAAAGCACAGTTTTTTATCTTCTTCTTCTTCAGATGCAAATCCACTAATGGATGTTAGCGATCACATTTTCCATTAACTCTCTATTTCTTGCAATATGTATCAGAGATTGTATGTCGTTAATCCCTGTCCATTGCCTTATGTTTCGGAACCAGGACATTTTCTTGCGTCCCATTCCTCTCTTGCCTTCAATTTTACCCTCGATTATAAGTTGGAGGAACTGGTATTTTTCATTCGCATGATGTGACCTAGATACGCCGTTTTCCTTTTCTTGATGGTTTCGAAAAGTTGGCGTTCTTGGTTTATTCTTTTAAGGACATCTATATTTGTGATTTTCGCTGTCCATGGTATTTTTAGGATACGGCGATAAAGCCACATTTCGAAAGCTTCCAATCTGTTTATATCCCTCGTTTTGAGTGTCCAGCCCTCTACGCCATATAGCAGCACTGACCACTGACAGTTTTTTATAGAAGCCAAAAAAGCTCATGGATGTCGACCACTTTATTTTCAGAGTGGTTCGAAAATGAATTCGTCCCAAGCTTAAAATCCTTTTTAAAATAAAAAAACCTTCCCATCGAAACATTGTTGCTTGTTGACTCAAAATCTATACAATAGTGATAATTGTCAGATATTTTGCGACCGAATGCCACGAGCTTAATTCAGCTGTTAGACCAGGGAGTAATAGAGACATTATAGAGGAGCATTCTTAAGACATCTGTTATTACAGGAGACAAATGAATCCAAAAGTATTCCTAAGATCCTCAAATGTTTAACAATGAAACATATTGTTTATCGGTGTGCTGAGTTCTGGGCCAAGATCAAATCTTCAACTTTGAAATGCTGGATAACTTTTTGATAGGATTTTGATTGACGATCCTGAAGAAGAAAATGGTAAAGAAACGACAGAAGAAATTAAACCTTTAATAAAACATTTGCCGGGATGTGACGAAATTAACTAAGAAGAGATACGTGAGTGGTTAGCAGCCGATGACTCAGAAAGTGAATTCATCGACCAGGACTCATTGATATGGTTCTTAATCCAGACAACCTGAGCATATCAGACGATGAAGATGACGACCCAACAGACAACAGGCAGCATGAGACCGCCGACGAGACTTTCAATGCCTTAAGGATAAGAATTTTATACAGTAGGCCTAATATGTTAGAGAGACGAATGGGTTCTTAATTTTTGTTGTCATTGTATAAAGTTTTGTCCTTTTCAGATTGCTTTAAGTTTCGTCGAACGATCAAATGGGGCAAACTCACGACGTTCTGCAAATGAACGATGGAGATATATAGTTGCCAAACATCGTTGTCAAACGATAACGTAAAAGAAAATAGAAGATTTCTTAAAAAAACTTGTTAAACTTGTTCATTTTCCTTAATTTTATTACTTTATTGTGTATTTACTTATTAGAAAACATTACGAAATCACCTAATAGTATTATTTAAACAATACTTTAATACTATTTTTAACCGAAACGGCCTGCCCCCCCCCAATTATTTCGGTTAACGGTGGTTTTACTGTAAATCTAAAGTAGGGCTTGATTCTCAACAAAATGTTACTTTAATAGAAGTTACAAATTACAAAAATCGTGCCTCTCGCCCCTTGATGCATACAAAAAAGCATGAAAAAAGGCGCCGTGTAAACGCGTCGATATTTTTACACATCCTAGTTTGAATACTTACTCTAACGTTTTCCAAAAGCTGGTCTGGCAAGGTATTGAGACAATCGAATTGAAGGACGATGTGATGTTTGAAACAGTGCTTGATACAGCGGACAAAATACTCTGTTTCAGATTCAGTGAGTTCCACGACGTCGGAAGTTTTGAACAAAGGACCTAACTGTTGTATACCCGGAACGTTACTAAGTTTTTCTGCGAAGTTTTCTTCTCTAGACACCGGAGGAGGTCGGACTGGACCTAGAATGATAGAAATAATTAATTTATACTTAATATTGTCCGGAAACTATTTTCTTGTGCCATTTTTAATATTATTTACTATCTAATTGGAATTGATCACATTTTCAGTTGAAAATGCGTTTATTTTGACGTTTCCATTTCTACTTCGAAAAAAGAATTTCCGAAGTGGAAATTGAAACGTCAATATATAATTCATACTTTACAGTGATAATAGGAAATGTATATTTCGTAACATATGAACTGTTCACACTATTCTTTCGTATATATATATATATATATATATATATATATATATATATATATATATATATATATATAATATATATATATATATATATATATATATATATATATATATATATATATATATTATATATATATATATATATATATATATATATATAATATATATATATATATATATATATATACATCCTACTATCATTTTGGCATCGATACATTATGCTTTTACCATCAATTTAGCATCGTCTTGCAAAGTAGCATCTGTATATCGACGCTACTTTACAACACCTATGTAACTTTTTTTCTGTACTTGTTACAAGAATTTTAACCATCTCACTGATTAGAGATTTGATACCGTGTTGGTATTTTAAAATATCGGCTTTCTCTTTTTATCCCTTACTGAGTTATATAAGTTTATTCCAGAAAATGTTTGAGTCTAAAATGATGGTACGGTGAAAATATTATATATATTTAGTTCAGGGTTTTACCGTTTACTCGATGTCATTATATACATAAAAATGTATATCCAACTTTCATTATCAATCATTTTAGCATCAGAAATTTGGCATCGCTGTTGAATATAATATTACCCACAACGAAATAGTAAATTTAAAAATATATATATTTTTTTCATCCATAAATCATTCTGGCATCATGTATCTTCGCTCCAATTGGTCCAGTCGTGACGTACAGTATCTCAAATGATAGGATTTAACCAATAAAATACAATAAGACAGAAAAATCAAATACAGCAGCATGTCAAAAAGGCCTTAGTTATATATCTTCGTTTCTATAAGTCCAATCGTGACGTACAGTATCTCAAATGATAGGATTTAACCAATGGAAAACAATGAAATAGAAAAATCGGATACAGCAACATGCCAAAAGGGCCTTAGTTGTGTATCTTCGGGTCTATTATTCTAATCATGACGTGCAGCACCTCAAATGAAAGGTTTTAGCTAATAAAATACAATGAGGTATAAAAATTAAATGGAGTAGCATGTCAAAAGGGCCTTAGTTATGTATCTTCGGTCCTATTAGTCCAATCGTCACGTACGATATAGCAAATGGTAGCACTTAACTAATAGAATACAATGACTTAGGAATCAAATACAGCAACATGTCAAAAGGGCCCTATTTACATATCTTCGTTTGTAGTGGCACAATCGTGACGTACAGTACCTCAAATGATAGGATTTAACCAATCAAATACTATGAGACAGAAAAATAAAATACAGCATACATCAGCCTGTCAAAAGGGCCTTAGTTATGCATCCGCGGTCCTGTTAGTCCAATCGTGAAAGGGCCTAGTTATGTATCTTCTATCCTATTAGTCCAATCGTGACATACAGTACCTCAAATGATATCATTTAACCAATAGAATGCTACGACGTAGATCAAATACAGCAACACGTCAAAAAGACCTTAGGTATAAATATTTGCTCCTATATATGCTATGTCAAAAGAGCCTTAGTTATGTATCTCCTGTCCTATAGGTCTAATCATGACATATGGAGCCTAAATGATAAGCTTTAATGGAGATAATACAATGGTGGAGACAAAGTAAACATGGCGGCATGTAATATCACGGTAAACTGGCAGCAATAAAACGTAATAACCCACAGAGGTCTATGGCATATTACGTGACAGAATTTAGCGAATAGCATATGATTTGCATACGTCTACTTTTAGTCAACTACTGTACATATGATAAACGCGAAAAAGTTCCAACATTCACTGTTAGACATATGCCTCCCGTTCACTGCACACATTTACTGCTCCTTGACGCTGTGACGTAAATTGGATAGGATTTAACAAATAGAATGACAGAAAATTAAATAAGACAGTGTGTCAAACGTGGAATGCATCGTAGAACGTGAAATATATAATATACATTTAAGAATATGAAATAATACACCATTTAAAAAAAATGACGTTAGTTGAGGCAGATCAGACCAGAAAAAAATGTCAACATTTGCAGAATACTTAGCTAGTATTTTTAAAATATACCAACCAGATAATAATAATCAAGCAATAGAACACTGAAAACTTTTGTTTTTAACTGTACGCCCATGAATGACTAGCCATTTTTAAATACCTTTTGATATTGCTTTTTTTTATTGTATTTTTCCCATTTTTCAAGATAATTCTTGTAGGGATATATTTATTTATAACATACGGTCTTATGGTATTACGAACAGTATTACGGCTTTAATTTGTACCACACTGCTAATTGAGAACTATGTTTGTAATGCAATAAGAGGTCCTGATATACGAGACACCAGTGACTCATGCCCCACTGATACAAATCCGACAGGAATATGCATTTCTATAAAAACAATAGATTATTTGTTTTGTGTATTAATTAAGTTTAGGTAAACGAACAAGACTTGCATTATAAAAGATTTTTCTAAATGTAGAATGTAAACCATATTTCGTATGCTTTGTGAAAGAGAACCAGTTTATAACATTCCGGACGACGCAAAAACACTTTTTTATTAGAATATTGGTCGATGAATTATAATTATAGTTTAAAAAACGAATTTATGTGCATATGGTCTACTACAAAAAATGTAAAACCAAAATCTTGATTAAAAAAGTGGCAACCGGTTACTTATAATGAAATTTACCCCCATTATTGATTTCACAAGTGAAAAAATGTGTCAACAAAAAACCAGTTTTAATTAGTATTACAATGTTTCAACATAATAGTTTTATCTTGGTTTAATCAGGTGAAAAGAAAAATTATACACAAGTGCTAAAACCACAAGCTATTCTCGATTATAACTTGGTGAAAAAGAGTGTTGATTTTAGTAATCAAATTGCTTCTTACCAGAACCCAATATCCAAAATTCTGAAGTGGTACCGGAAAGTGGCAGTGAAATTAATATTTAATACCGCAGTAGCTAATGCTTAGTTGTTAAATAATAGAAAAGGCGAAAAAGCGACAACCTATCATTGAGTTCAGATTGGTGTTCGCGAAGACATTTGCAAATAAATAAATGTTGGAACGCTCACGACCAGTTACACCCAAAAAATACCATCTTAGGCAAAGCGACGTAGGTAATAAAAAGAGAAGAAAGTGTACAAGATATTACAAAAGTTTAAGAAGGAACATGACTAGTAGAAAGACCGATAGAAAAGTTAAAATAGTTAAAACATACTGTGGAGCATGTGATGGTAAAACTGCAATATGTCTAGTGTGCTTCAATAAAGCACATTAAAATACAATTTCACTTATACAGGAACTATTATTACGTGAAAACGTATTGTTCCTCAAGTACCCTTATAGTATTGAAATTCGTAAATTATTAGTTTCTATTAGTACGTTTTTATTGTTAATTACCTCTGTAAAAGTGAGTTATAAAATTGTTTTTGTAAATTGTATTATATTTGTAAAAAAAATAGATGTAAATAATATGCTTTCGACATCTAAAAAAGCTAGATGTGAACATAAACGTAGATTGACCACTGATAACTTCTATAATAGTGTTCAATAAGCTAGACAATCTAGACAATTGCTCATAGTCTATATTAAGAAATAACCGAATAGACAATCTCTACTTGTCAAAGAAACTAAAAACAACGTGAGATGGTCAGTATTTACAGTCCTGAAGAAATATGTGTGACCAAATGCAGAGATAAACGAGATATATACATGATATATTCAGAATTTCGTTGTCAGAGGGTTAGAATTAGATCAAGAAGAGGATTGATATTTAAAAGAGTTAATTGATTAATATAATAAAAATAAATGTGGTATACACTTACGTGAACAAATGCTGAGCTACTATTCATGTGAACATATAACATATTTCTTATATAACAGTGGATATCAAAAGAAGATTTCCCTTTGCGATTTTAAACTTTCAGTCAATGGGAGTCTTTAAGGACCAAATTCCAAGTACCTACCTATTAAAAAACTGGTAGTCCACCATTTATATTAAAATTTTCCAAAAACTGTTTTAAGAAAAACTAGTTAAGCGCAATACATGATGTCGTATCCTGTTGGCATCACTTAGCCTCTCCTACTCAATTCCTATCTTCACCTCCACGCTGGTACACACCGGTAACCTGAGCAACCCCACTGGAGACTGGGTAACCAACCCCAGTGGATGGTGGGGTCAGGGCAGACGAAGAAGGGAGCCTTGGTCCTTCGATGAAAAGGGGGTTGAGCGAAGGGTTAACAACCCTTCCTTGTAGAACTCAATTGTTGCGAATACAATGGCTAATGAAACAAACGGACGGATCTCATAACAACGAACTCAGCACAGAAAAATGGACATGATTATGGATTTAAAATTTAGAACCCGGAACGTGCGAACCTTCTTAAAGGCAGGAGCTATGATAAGTATGGCAGAAGAACTTGAAAAATACGGAGTTGAAATATTGGCACTGCAGGAAATCAGATGGAAGAGCCAGGGAGAAATTCATAAGAATAAATTCTCACTATACTACTCCGGAAATGAAATGAGACAAGGTGAAAGAGGAGTAGGGTTTATAATAACCAAAAAACTGCGGAAAGCCATTATCGCATTTACACCAATATCAGATAGAATTTGCACCATAAGATTTAAAGGTAAATTTCATAACGTGACAATGGTTAATGTATATGCACCGACGGAAGAGGCTGATGAAGAAGACGTTGAAAGATTCTATGGAGAACTACAGGATGTATGTGATAAAATCCAAAGACACGATGCTGTTAAAACGTTAGGCGATTTTAATGCTAAACTGGGGAAAGAAGAAACGTTTGC